TGACGAGATCCGACCAGGTCGAAACAACTATCCAGAACCACCTAGCTTTTCACTTCACGCTTTATTTGCTCTGGGCACAAAAAATCCCATCATATGATTAAATTTATTTTCCTCAATTAACTTCTCCTTCACCGTTTAACTCAACCATTTTTATTTACAAAGCTTGTGATTCTGACACAATAAACTATGAGTGAATAACAGTTACACACGATATAATTTTCCGGAACACCCGATGAAAAACATTCATGGGGAAAGGTTGTGAAGCGAACCATCTACTGTAATCGCTTGATGCATCCTCTGCAGGAGAGGGGAACAGAGGGGAATATTCAAGAAGATAACAGGTTGAACTTACCGCAAGCCACGCCGTAAATCACTGAGGCGATAAAAAACAGCATCAGTCGGAATTCGACGGACCAAGCCTGAATTTGTTCCGGTCGTCCGTTTTCACCGGTCACCACGGCACCGTACCGTTCAAAATCGTCCCGATCGGTTCGCGACGGAGTTAAAATCACTCCGTGTATGGCCAGAGGAAAACAAGCAAGTGAGATGGCACATAACACCAGGAGAACATTGTTCAGGATCAAAGGATCGCCCACACATGGACAACGTTGAAACGCACGACAACCTGTTCCAACACCTTTTTCAATGTACATGGCTGTTGATGAGTTGCGTAACATGAGGGCGAGACAGAGAGAGAGATCAACAATGTTTCATCACTAACACAGAAGATAAGGACGTGGTGAGGAACATGCATTAAAATTGATGCAAATAGTTCAGTGAATCCGATCGGTTTTGACGCCTCAAATCAATGAGTAACAAGCTGCAAAGCGGAACACATGCAGTGAGTGGATATACCGACGCATTTTTTCCCCCATGCGAGGTTACTTCAACGAGTGTTCTAAGATAAGTGCGCGGGTGATTTGGCACGGGTTACCAGCTATATACTGCGGATGTTGAAGTAACAATTATTATCCAGAGACACGATACGGTAGCTTGGAGTTCAACCATAGCAATTGGAGATGATTCAAACAGTGAGGGTAACGGCGAAACTTGTGTAGCGTTGGTTCAAAAGAAACGCGTTCTCCGAGTTATCAAAGTCGTGGATGGCACGCAGACTTGCGTGTGCAAAAGCGAACACGACCAGCAACACACGAATTCCGTTTCACACGTTTGTTTTCTCTGGGTTCAATCAATCAAAATGATCGGGCAATAAAAACCCCAAATTAGAAAATGTCACATAAGGATCCAAATGTGGAAAATAGTTTGTCTGCGGGAATAACGTCAACCGTTGGAAAAATTTTCGGATTCGGAAGTAAAACGTCAGCGGTAAACTTTGCTTCAGAACGTCTGTGTCAGGAGGTCAACGCCAATATATATATATATATAATTCTGTGATTGAACAATTTGTTAAATCACATTCCGAGCGAGCAGAATAAACCGTGCGGTGAATCGTAATTCATGGACGGGGCAGAACCCGCGAAAGATTGGATCATGCACTAATAATAAGAATGCTATTTTATGAAACACTTTTATATGACGAACGGCAAACGCAACGTGTGGTAGTCACGAGGACATACTGTTTCACTCAAGGGAACCAGCAAACAGAGCCCGGGGACTTGGACTGGCGAAGAAAATAAGGTACCACCAGCACGGGTAACAGTGAAGTTGCCGAACACTAAAATGGGTTTAAATGGGACCGAAACAGTCCAAAACAGGTAATCAATTATATCCATCCCATTCGTTTTCATGGTTATATGTTTGCATCCCACGTTGTAGCATTTTCCGAATCACCTCTTGGTTTCTCGACCGAACACCTTCCCGTACACTTAAATGGGGCGATGGTGCTTTGTTCATTTCGTTATTTCTTCTGGATTCGGTTCCTCGGTAGGGCCATTCGACTTATCGACTTACTAGCTCATCGTCGAGTAGTTGTTTCTTTTATCACTATTGAACTCGGCTCTTTCCGATTCTCTTCAACCTATCCTTCCTCCCAGGTTCAAACATACGGGTGACAAGTCAGCCCAAGCGTCACACCGGTAACCTATAATATTTGTTCCCATGGCCTGCAAAACCCTGACACATTTTCTTCCGATCAGATTATTCTCCAAGTCACAACGACATCGTTGCAATGTCCAAAAGTTGGCTCTGACTTGAACGTCTCTTTCCTGATCCTGATAAAATGTATCACATCTTTAAACATATATATATATATATATATTTATATTTCACACTTGTCTGAGGACAGACTGTGTGCCAAACAAATCATGGTACAATAATCTTTATAAAAAGAAAAATGTTCCACGATTGGCTTGTGGGCTGAGTACTGCCAGGTTGCCCAGGCCAAGGCAGGTGAATTTTCTTGAGGAATCCACAACCGGAGCCTTCGGTTAGCCAAAGCCTGACCCGCAAGGCAGCGGGGCGGTGTGCGAAAACCGCAGTCCATTGGGAGCCGGTGTCCAGTTCATCGGATCATACGCCCTTCGGACGGGGTCAGANGACGTCCAAGGTGCTCAATACACCCCAATGCCCAATCGAGTCGGTGACCACTGCCACAAACGAAAAGGTGTAGGCGTGGTTCGTACGTCTCCTCATGGTTCGTTTGGAATCAGGGTTTTTGGTCAACTCCTCTAGGTGAATTGCCAGTGGTCCACCAACTACGTTATAGCCCCGGATATCGGCTTTTCGTCCTCTCACTTTGGTGGGAAAACACCTCCGCCGCGAGAAGGCAGTGAGTAGGGCTTCCTCAGCAGAGGCTATTTGAGACACNGGGGCATTTCGTGAGGTGCAAGGGCAGGGTGATCAGCCGCAACCCTAGACACCCACCTCCAACCATACTGAGGCCTTGGGAGGCATCTTTAAACATGGTCTGGTTTCGTCCTGTTTGGGACGAAACAGTTGACCAGTCAGCAGGCCACAGACCTTGCTCATCTCAGCACTAGCTTCCGGGGTTATGACTCGGTTAAAAATCGTGTAAATGGAAAAAGAAAAACGGTCTGATCAGCTGCCCGGTGTCGAGTGGGTAGTAGGTTTGTGTTCTACCCATGAGGTCTCGAGTTCGATCCTCAGTTGGGTCGATGGATTTGCGCTGCTAATGAGACCCAACCAGGTCGAAACCGCTGTCCAGTGCTTCCTAGCTTTTCAGTTCACGCTTCATGTGCCATAGACACGACTAATTTCTCATTTAAAATTCAACCGTTTTGTTGTTATTGTTGTTGTTCCTATGTCGAGCATTACACAGGGTAATCGATGCACATTTCGGTTCAACTCAACTTTTCGTCTCAACAATCAGCTGTGAAAATCGCGGGAATGTGCGACATATCAATCACATCCTTATCGCCCTCCCCCCTCGCATATCTCGTACGAGAAATACATAAATAAGATGGCTACATTCACACAATTGTCTCCTCTTCTCCACACCTGGAAGTTTCATGTCTACTGACTATGGTGCCTAGTCTGACCAATATGATCGATGTGTTTCTCAAGGCGTGTAAGCTGCTAGGAGAGAGCGAGAAAACAAAACTGTTCATGGCAACATTACCAGCGAGAAGACGTCCAACAATGCCGGACAGACCGATTGTGAGAAGGATTGCCCCGGGGCTTACAAACGCCGTCCAGTCTGCTGGCCAGGTGAGTAGCGGAGTGAGCCAACTACGTTCAGAGGCACTGGGTGGACCCTCGGGACACCAGAGTGGATTGGTGTGACATTCCATACCTCCGAACTCCAACAGTAACGGTAAAAAGTGGAATGGAACGAGCAGAACTAAAATCAGCATAAAAAGCAGAGAATGGAGTGAATGTGTGGGGTGGGGTTGGGGTAGAAAAAAACAATTCCAGAGATGAGAAACCGACGAAGAAAACTACATCAGCTGATCCTTGTGAGCAAGAATTCATGAAGAGACCAATTATTCAGGTTTAGCATAAAGAGGAATTCAGATACTACTGAATCAAACGTAAAGTAAAAAGGCGAAACTGTTAAGATAGACAGTTACAAGTAAATGTGATAACAATTTTTTGTTTCAATGTAGACCTTTTGAAATTTTGTTAGTTTATCGTTTGTTTTATGAGGCACGGGACTTCAACATGCAGACGGTACAGCATTCGTGCCAGTGACTTCTATTCTGGGTTAAATCTCTCAGCGTCTCTAACCAACGACAATTCTCATCCCTCGGGTCCCAACCTAGAAGGTGGGCTGCAACCACCGAAGCCAAAGCTGAGGTTAGCTCCTTTATACCTCTGCGCCATGTCATTGTCTGACCGCCGCGGCACCTCTTTCAGTCTTGCCCGGCACGCGCAAAGAGAGCACGGAAAAGAAAGCTACGGGCAGGTATAAGCAATACCACCACATAAATGATTGATGATTGTAATGAGGAGACCACCACTAAATGGAGGAGATACGTTCTATTCACTCCTTGGTTCGCTAGGAGTTCAGTCCCATATGCTAGCAGCCCAGTTGACAGATTCCGTTTGTATCCATAATATTAAACAGCAGATTTGATCAGTTAAATATACAGAATTCAGCAATGTAAGGAAGTTTAGCAAACAAAGATTTATCATTTTGAGTTCTAGTCTGGTTCGTAATACACACGGGAATAACCGCCACTGATCGGAGTCGACTCAATTAGCATTTGGTTGTAGGTTCAAACCTCGTAGTAAATCATCGAGCTCACTTGGTAATAAACAGTTATGCTGTCTTGCGTTACATCAGTCCATATTTCTGGCTACAGCACAGCTCCCCGGTCTACCTCTCGATATTGTGGTATAGAGTGAGGGAAAAACACCCAGCAGCAGTAGCAGCAGCAGCAGCAGCGTTATAGCACATATGTTCTCTGTGAACCCCCGTAACTTTCCCGATCTGGTCGGACACTAGTTTTAAACTCGAAGGTGGGTCATCCTAAGGACACAACGGCAGACCCGTGAACGGAAAACTCGCATGTTGATTCTCACCAAAAGCCGAGACCAGTTCGGTCGTAATTGTGCGCGGCTGGAAACGAAGCAGATTTGTGGGTGAGCGTTTCTCAACTACAGAAAAGCGCACTGATCGAGAGCTCCGTGAGAATCTGGCCGCAACCCGGTGTAAAATTACCCGGAGCGATCAGTTTCTCACAGACAGACGGTGCACTATTTTAAACGAAAATAAATATGTACACTAAAAAACAAATAACAAGTTCCCTCGACCAAAAAATAAACCAATACTATTACCATCGTGCGCGAATCAAGGAAATGAGATTGGGAACAAGCATTCCTGTACGCACACGTACAAACATGGCAATCTTTTTGCGGCAAATTCGTCTAAGTATTGGAATGCCAATCACCGATAACCTTCAAAAGGTTCATTTTGATCAAGTGAATGAAATTTAGTCAAAAGGAATGATGAGAACAAAAAAGGAACAACAACAACAACAATTCGCTCGAACTGATCATCCCTAAGATTTCATTCTCACTCTTATTTAATTTTTAGTTCATCCAATCCATCGTATGAAGTGAACTCGAGTACTATTTTCACTGTGAGGGGGCTCATCCGTGGCCGGAATACCCACCGGTTCACGTGGATTGACTGTCAGGAAGATGACAGGTGAATAAATTCGACCCGGCAATTCTTTTCAATCGCAGAGTGAGCTAGGTGGCACAGTGGTACCAAACCAAACTCTCACACGAGTTGAAATCCCGGACAGGCCAGCCAGTATGATGCGCTCGAGCAAAAGGAAATATCGACTTAAGTTCTTCCCGAATGTATCATTTGGACTGGATGAAGTGGGAATTGTGGATGGAAATGAAGCCTGAAGGGTGGTGATCAAGCAGTCAATCAGTGATTTTGAGGTATCCCGTCTCATCCACTACCGTCACGAATAGCTGAGAGAGAGCAAAAAACGAAATTTCTAAGATCCTCTATTTTCACTTTAGTACAAACGATCGAATCATCACATACGCAGATCATGGACACGCGAATACACGGTACCGCTGGACTTGACAAGTGACGCACGATATTGGGGAACGGAACCAGCGAACAGACACCCTCCTTCACTCGTGTCACTATAGTTGGTTGGACAGAAGCAAATTGCATAATCGATCAACCTGACCAGTTCGGTCGCGTTTGCAAGACCAGTTTCAGACTAACGGTTCAACTGACTGAAACGGTCGCGTAACAGTATCGATTGACAGACATCACTCAGTTCGGTTCGTACGACCAGACAAGCATGCACTTTAGTGCGGCAGGTTTTGTTGGATGCCCCGTTGGATGAACCAGTAGAGGAAAGAAGCACAAAAATCGGAACAGTAACAGATTAAAGAAACCAAATGCAATGTAACTAAATCCACAGAGAAATTGAATCGATGTTAGAATGCCACTGTTTAAGACACTCGGTCACGTCAGACCTCAAAAACTTCTGATAAATGAATGAATTCAACAGTAGGTGATCTTGAAAAATAGATCAAGCACAAGCACAAGCACACACACAGAATGAGTTTGAGCAAAAATGCATTTGAGGAATTCCATCCGAGTAGTGAGCAAATGATTATTGTCCCAATGCAATCAAAGATATCACACTAGTGTTTCACGTTTCCAATTTGATGCTGTAAGTAAAAAAACAAATAACCTCTATCCACAAACGCGGACGTGAGTTTCCAGTGGACATTGTAATCCAGAAAAAAAAACTAACTAACTACGTGTGACCTTTATTCCCGAACCAGAATGAGATAAGCCAGCCTAAATCGCTCGATTATTTGTAGGCGTGTGAACGGTCAAACCGTACAAATTCCCATTGTGACACACATTCGAACGGAACTGGAAAACGATTTGCCAGTCAATATCGGCCTAAATCAGATAGGTGAATCAATCAAAACCGATCATTACCTACAATACCCAAAATTCGTCAAATCGTTGGAAATCAAGAGCGTGGAGTTAGACGCATATCACCATTATTTTTTTCGATTATCAGCATCCACAGTCCACGGTGTTTGATAATTCCCCACCCCCCCCCAGCTTCGTTGCTAGATAGATCATTTAACAGACAAACTGATTGGATGAAATCGCAAAGTAATCTTTTTCGCAATTTCACTTTTTTCTCACCCGCTCTCCTGCTAAATTTGGCAAAAAGAATTACCCAAGCGATCTGTCACCCGAACGACAGTGAGACCTGGGAACACACGCGGATGCAGCTAGAGCAAACTATGAACCTTTTTTTCTTTTTATAAAGATTATTGAACCGTGATTCGTTTGGCACCGTCCGAACTTAGACATGTGTGAAAAATATACGTATATATACGGATGCAGCAGCTCATGCGGTGCATGATATCATACAAATCAATATAAATCTCATAGGACCCCGACTTCATAAAAAAACAATTATTGATGACGAGGTACGTGTCATCGTTTTACCATCAGCAAGCAGTACCCATAAACGGTGGCTTCATAAAAAGCATTGAAACATCGGCGCCCGCTTCATATCTGTTTGAAACAGTCCGGACGGAACGCTAACTATTGCACGTGTTCGACGGGTGCGATGCGACAAGACGCCATCACTAAGACCAATGGATGAAATTCACCGAAATTCGAAGTTGAAAACAGAA